CCGGTGTATTCCTCCTGTGATGTTGGCTGCCGCTCTCATTATATGGAATATGAGCTCGTGCTAGCTGTGTTCTCGGCGTTAGCTTCGACTACCGATCCCCGACCACCTGTATACGCAGCCAGCTGTGAGTAGAGTCGGCCTGACCGATCCCCGATATATCCTATCCGAATATCCAGACTATCGGCACGCTGTATATACGCGCAGGTACTCCCATACAATATATATATATATATATATATATATATATATATATATATATACACGTACACAATATCTCGTCCAGCCAAACGATCAGCCATTAAAGTCCAAGAGAAAATTCTATAACGCGTAATGCAAGCCTAAGCTATACCGGTCTGCCGATTCCTCTCGTTCCCAGGTACCTCCTCCCGGTTACCATACGGCGTGTATGTCGTCGTTACCCATCGGCGGCGACCTAACAGCACGTCCTGTGCAGCAGCTTCGTCGGCGGGCCAATGCGCCCGATTACGACCGATATGGCGCGTTCTGCGCTCTATGTACTCTGTCACCGCTACCTCCGTTACTATATACATATACACACCCTGGTCTTCTCTCTATACCAAGACTATATATATATATCGCTTCCGACTATACGACTATGCAACCATAGGACTATGGACTATGCGGCTGCCTGTGGTCCTGCGGACCTGCTACCTCGCGCTTCGGGCTTGGGGTTAATACGGTGGCCGGTGATGCACGACCGACGCAACGTTGCGGCCAGCGGCTGACCACACGCCAGCTGCCCAACGCCAGCCGCAAAAATCTGTAGCCTGACCCTTGCCCTCTCCCGGCACATCTACCGCTATCCACATCCCAGCCGAGATAACTTCGTTGATCCACGACACGTTCTCGTGTACCAAATTTCACGTCGATCCAAAATTTACTTCGATTTTCTTCCACGAGCTGCACGGCGGTACCTTTTTTTTTTTTCGCGGGATTTTCAAATTCATCATAACCCTTCCTTATTCCGTGGCCGATATAGGGGCGTCACTTCGCTTAATATTTCGTTCGCGTCCACGGCCGTCGGGTAATTGTGTTAAATGAGCCGGTTGCGTATGCCAGGCCAGACCGGCGCGCACTGCCGAACACGCGTGTAAATAATAGGACTCCCGTATACGTACTGCGCACTCGTGTAGGAACTTATGCGTATTCACGTACGTTTATAGGTATAAGCCGTGGCTCTGTGTTGTTTACGTCGCTAAGAAAAAAAGACGTGCGTGGCTTTCAATTAACGCCCGTTCCCAACAACCCACGGCGCGACAGTACTGCGAGTGACTACTAATAACCGGCCGGATGATTCACGCGACGGATCCGCGACTCTTGTTGTTATAACCTAACTGAGCTTTCTTATACCCTGTCTACGTGCATACTGTTACGCCGCCTTATACTTCTCGTTAATGCGTTACGCGCTAAACTACGGCTAACCTACCCTGGATATCTGTATATATGTATATATAGCTTCGTGGCAAGATGGCGTTGGATTCTTTTATGCGAGAACGAGCTCGGCTTTGGTATTCCGGACGATGGTCGATCGGGCGCGCGAACACTCTTCTCTTCTTCTTCTTCTTCTTCTTCTTCTTCTTCTTCTTCTTCTTCTTCTCCTGTGTCTCGCATCGCGCTTCCACAAACGCGCGATTCATCGTGAATACCAATGGCCGATTCTCGAGGTTGTCGGGGAGACCGAGACACTAAATTCCACAGGTGAGAAAATTCCTGATTGGCTGAATCGAAGGCGTAGGGAAAGCACGGTGAAGGGCGAGGGGGGAGACTACTTTTGGTATGGTTATTATTATTTATATATTTATATATGTATATATATATATATTTAGTGTACAGCATATAGAAGCGAACGATCGGCCTCCACCTCGTGGGAAAGATTATCCGACGGTTTGTGGCCCGGACGCGGGGCAAACGATTTAATTGACCCAGAAATTGGCCATGAGGTTGAAAAAAAACAGATTTATCCCGTAAGATCGGCTTTTACGTAATCGTCCCTTTCCTCCTGACTATACGAAACTCATATCCCACCGATCATTAGCAAATGACGGTATTGAATCTTTATCGGTGTAAAATTTTCAATACCGATCTCCCTCGCGTAATCCTTATTACGCTCCGTGACTCTAGACCGGTATTATTTTCGTGATATTTTATACCTCGTGAAAAAAAAAAAAGCTACGCGGGTTCACTTTATAACTCAGGGTACACCCCAAGTCGACCGTTGCGACCTTTATTTTGTATACTTACGTACGAAAATCGGTAACTTCGATCTCAAAGCGGATAAGACGGGCAGAAAGTCCCCGATCTGGATAATGAAAACCATACGGCACAATGAGCGACCAGCTTATAATCAGCTTATACGAGTAAACTATGAAGCCCTCTTAGAAACGGGACACTCCAGGTATATACAGTCGATTGTCAAATAAAGCGTTAAATCCGGCGAAAGCAGCCGATTCCGAATGCTCCTTGCGGTACGTCGGTATTCTCAGTGACAACGATACCTCATTGTCGTTACCATTGTTACCGATTTACCGGGTTCCCACAGCCCTGCCCCCCGACAGTGGCGTCCTCGAACCGATTTTACGGGCAGCTTCCTCCTACGCCCGGAATAAGGCTACGACGTCCCCGACCTCCTCTCCTGGTAACAACAATACCCCGACGAGAGGGTGGTCTGTGTCTCGGTAACCGAAATCCAATTTGCATGAAGGACAGGAGCCACGCTGGACAAGGTAATTGGTACACAGTAGGGATTAAGTTCGGGCAAGACGACGAATGGCGAAGGCCGTACCGAGGGCCCCCGCTCGACTACTGTATACGTATATACAAAGGACACGCGAGCGGCGCCCGCGCCAAGGTATACGAATTTTCTCGAACTAGCTCACGCGATCGAAAGTATCGGACCGATCGGGGATTCGATTAGACGCCTTATGGAATTTTTCTACGATAACTGTACGCATCGCGGTTTAACTCGACGCATGTATAGGTATACACAGTCTGTGGGTAATATCTCGGTTGGGTTTACATAAAGCAAACGTTTCGCAGCGTCCCTGAACCAAGTCGCCTTCTTCTGGGTATATGGTATGGGACCGAGAGGACACTCACATAAATACGTACGCAAACAAAAAGCTACAAAGGGCCGCGCTCACAACAGATACGATCTCGCGGCATGCAGATACGAGCATACTAATCTCCCTTAGGCTCCCTCTCTCTCTTTGGCTCTTTTTTTTTACCTCCGAAGAAAACCGCATCCTTTTGTCGTATATACCTCTATGATGCATGGGAATGGCCGATCGTACCGGTCGAGGACGATTCGATAGCCCATAGGCACGAGGAGGTTTTTTTGGTGAATTTGCAAATTTGGAATAAACATTTGAGGATCGAGGTAAAGTTTCGCTCGAATTATAGGGCAGCTGGAAACTGTTTTGGTACAGTGGACGACTAGGCGATACATCTCGAAATCGAATCCGGAGTCTGCGCCCCTCTTTGCCGGGGTAGTTTCAATTTCGTAATGCCAATCCAATCATGTAAATCAGGGGAGCCGTTATTAGTGGTAGCAATCGAACTCTCCTATAACTAGCGGAGGAGGTCCGGGCTGATCAAGACTGGAAGGTGGGACGGTGGGGGGGTGGTGGCGTCCCAACTAATCCTAGGTTTACCTAATCGCCCTATCCCTATAACCGACCCGACGCTCTATCCCGGCGTCCTGCTCGTTCGCAAAGCGGCTTACAGTTTCACCCCTTTCGCTTCGTCCTGTCTCTCTCTCTCCCTACCCAGCCTCACTCACGATATCCGGACTCGCTCCTGATCAATCAATCAGGCGTTTGCCCATGCGAAATTTTACGTTCGACCTCCTGCTTCCCAGGTACTCCAGCCAGCCGAGTGACTCTTAAGCCGGAAACTACCACTAATTATACGGATCAGACAGTCGGATTGTCCAAAGTCCCTAAGGACTCTGGGGAATGTCCCTATAGGTATATCTGGGTGTCTTTTACGGAATACCTAGAGTTATTATGTATGTCTGTATATATGGTAAACTTACGTACGGCCAGTGGTATACTCGCAGACCGGAAATCCCTGATAAATTATTCCCTCACGGTGAACTTTGGTTAGGAGCCAAAAACTATCGTATAATAATAATAATAATCGAGGAAAATATAACGTAACTCCGTGGCCAAGCCTCGCACCCTATACGGTGGCAACAGGTAAAAGCGAAAAGCCGCAATTTATTATACGCCGTGAACAAGGCGGACAACAGGTATTTTGCGGCTCGTTTTTGAGGCTAATTGTGTTTTACCTGGCTATAATGGTTTGTTGATAATTCCGGAGCGGAAGGCGGAGCACGAGCCTCGATCGAACGAAAGCGCAACCCCGTGTAATCTCTAGTGAAATATAGTGGCCCGTTGACCGGCCCTCGAGAAATTATACGCATTCCAATAGTAAACTGTGTATAGTGTATTGCTTTGTTATTAAGCCCGTGAGCGAAGGTGCTGCCACCTACGGGAAATTCCATGCAAGATTCACTCTCCCATGTCGTTGCCGGTTAACAATTGGGTCGCCGGACGGGGAAAAAGAGGTTTTAATTTTACCAAGAACCTCCGTCTCGCTCTCGAGTGGCAGAACTTGCTTGCGGATAGTCCTAAGCGCTAGTCCGCCCAGTCAAGTATCCAGCGAGAAGTCACTGGCTAATGGCCGACTGATGGCAATGTCTTGTCGCGTCGCGGCTGGACGAAGCCACCTGCGACAAAGAAAATATTAAAGTAGACACCGGTTGGCTATAGGACTTGCCGGATTTACATCCGGAACACTTATCACGACCATGTACGTATAATCTGTATACCCGTAGCCAACTTCGCACAGGTAATCGAGGTATCGACTGTACTCTGAGTTAGCATACACATACACTCGCTCCTAGCGCCGAGCACAAGGACTCATTGGCTAATCCGAAGCCTACGAGGAAATCCTAAGAGCGTCGCTATAGGAAACGAGCTATGTCACCGTCGAAATGGCCGGTAAAGTTTCACCGGATTATTACGACGCGCATGAGCTACCCCGGCTGCTAAAGTCCGGTGTAACACCTCGTTCGCGTAGCCGCCGCATATTTCCATGTATAAGGAAGCCGTGTTTCAATCATCTCGGGTCGCTCGGCGAAATTACAGTCGTGATGCAATTGGATAACATTGTAGTTGCCGAGCACGCCGGCGTTGGCGCCACGGTACGAGGAGCCCGGACTGTTCGCGATGAAGGCAGATCGCGGCTCCGGGGCTGTTGGCCAACAATTGAATTGAGTATCCAGGTAACCGTCTATGTGCGCCAGCGCTGCTACACTCCTACCGGAGCTCTGTGCTTACGAGCCGTAGAGTGGCATTACGTTGGCGCGCCGGGCAAGTGAAAACGAAGGAGCCGTATAAGGCTGATAAATCATAAACCATACCCCGTGTACCGTGTGTGCCGTGGGGTCTATGCTAATGACATATCCTGCATCCTGCAACCTCAGCACGCGCGATTCATCCAACGCTGAGCTGTCCGAGGTACTCGGAAGGTACTCGGAAGGTACTGGAAAGACGGTACCTGGTCTTCGCGTTGTTGATAACCAGACGGTGGATCGTTACCGGTGTATATAGGTATACCAGACAGGGACAACCTGATAAAGTCGATCCCTATCAAGGTGCAACTTCAGGGCAATGGGTGCATCGGGTCTACCTGACGTCTAGCCCGAGCTCGTAAGACTGATCAGCAACGTGGACACGCGCCAACGAGCACGCGCCGATAGATCTGACATCGCGACGCCCGACGCCCGGAGCGTGACCGGAGACTCGTTACCTACGCGGCATCCTCCGTCGAGATCCTCCTTAGGAAGACACGCGCCAATCGCTCGTCCTGCCTCTCCCTATTTATCCTCCCTCCCCTTTAATCTTCACCTCGGACCGCGTCTTCCCGGAATCGTAGAATCGCCTTCGCGACCTGGCCCGGGTGACCTCGCACTCGGGGTCTCGAAAAAAAATTTGGTATATAAGGGCATTAAAGGAGTGCATACCGGGGACCCAGAGTCCCACGGGAGACCCGGAGGCTCGGCCACTAAATATTGTGTTCGCGCAGAGAATACAGCCCGGGACACGTGTAAGCGGGGCCGCGGGATTCCGTATGAGCAGATCGGCCCGCCGATTATACGCTAATTCAACGCAAATTCCTTCTCGGAGATATCTGTATCGCTCGCATACATCAGCCCCTGCGGTAGCTGGCGAAGCGCGCCACGGCCCGCTTAATCAGTACCGGAGACAACTATATATATAGTCTGATACATAGTTTCGTGTACCGCGAATTCAGCATCCGTTAATTCTCTTCGGTCCGTCCGGTATCTCGAGATATGAGATTTTTGGTGATCCACGTTTTATCGAATTATAGGAAATTTTTTAGAATTTCGAAACACGATCTTCCTCTTTTCACTGTCATTTCTACGTATGTTAATATTTACCTAGGCAACACCTATCTGTGTCGAATCTTCATACGGCACTTCGGACCGTTCGCCTTACTCGTGTATCCTTTGGAATAACGCTGAAGGAGCTACCGGTGCTCCACCTATACCTATACCGTTTCCTAAAGGACCTCGGCTATGCCGCTTGCAGATATATCATGGTGTCAGCAGACATACCATTCTTTTGCGGTGCGAAACAGCCGACAGGACGGCAACGTTCACAAATTAAGGAGCGCCAAAGTCCGCGGTCTGGGTCCACGCCGCTAGGCGCTATCGCGCTTCATAAAACTTCGTTAAGCCGGGACTGCAAGTAGACGCGTCCGAGTAGCCACGTACATGACGCAAAACTCGAGCCTTGGGATCAAATTAATCTCCAGCCTCCCTGGCTCCTCCGATGCTTATTCGTTTCCGACTGTGAATATTATCCCAAGACACGTAATTGGTACAGGTCCTCCACGAGGATCGAACTGCCTGAAAAAGTTTGCTCCAGATCTTCGACTACCGTGTCGACGTTAAATCTTCCTTATCGACATTACATTGAAGCTGCTCGCTGGGTATCAAACGTGTCCTCATAATACGTCGTTCATTAATTCGCCAAGGACATAACGTAGGACTAGACACGGGATACAAGATAGTACGTACCAGTACACTGCACACATACTCCATTCTCGTCATTAGGTACGTCGCCTCGTTAGGATGAGTTTTTACGTCGCTAATGAGCTTGGCTGCAAGTTGTCCCGAGCAAGAGAGGAGGGAGTCTGCGTAGCCATCACGAGTCCCTGCACGTGTATGATCTACGAACTAGCCGGGATGCTGTGTTATGCCAAATCAGCATGGCGGAGATAGTAGAGAAGAATGAAAGGGACGTGAGAAAAAATATAAAAGGATGTAAAAAAAAATTTTTATCACCCAATCAGACAATCGCAGCATCCCTATCGGTATCTTTGGCACTGATCTTTTTTTTACAGATTTCCGAGAGCGAGACGAAATCTTTGTATTTTCTTAAAACCTCCCGTGAGGGGCAAAAAAAATTTGCTCCACGCATTAAAATTTTTTTTTATACGAAAAAAAAAACCGCCGTCGCCATTCATCGGACCAGTTTTCACCGGACGACGCAAACCTGTCGTTTAATTCGCAAATATCTTCCTCGTGTTTCTCAAAATACGCTACAGCTGCTTGCGTCATGTCTACTAGGTGCTGTACAACGCTCAGGGGAAACCTTAATGTTATATACCTCAGTCCGCGATGACAAGAGGATAGTGCGAAAAGTGTACTCTGACGACATCGTCACCGCGTACCTCCTAAATATCCCCTTGGCATAATATAGGGTGACAAGGAAAAAAAAAAGTTCCTCAGACCCGCTACTCAACGCAGCTAACGCTAACGACTGTTTCTCATCTGTATCTCTTTCAGACGGCATTACATTGGGGCGCGAAACACGGCAACGAGAACATCGTCAAGCTGATCGCCGGGACCTACAAGGACTACATAAAAGGCGTCAACGAGACAACCGTAAGTCGAAATCAATATGACGTCCCGATCGTTTGCTCTGATTTAATTCACTCTTTCCCTTTGTTCTCGGTGCTCGGTCCAGAATGGGGTAAGTCATGAATTACGTCTCCGATCCGAAGCTCCGGCTAGGACCATTGCCGGCCACAATGGTAAAATACAGGTTTTCGCACTATTCCTCGAGTGAGGTCCCGGTCGGCACGAGGTCCGCGACGTAGGGAAGAACCGCGTCCGGAAAGGAGAAGGAAAGAAAGGCAAGAAGAGAAGGCCAAAGATAGGATCGGATGTGTGTGGTCCAGCTCTTTACTCTTTATAAGACTTATATAAGCCAGAGCTCGAGAGCGGGCTTGCTCGTTAGCGGCTCGCGACAAACACCGTTGGTACTGGGTCTGCCGCCATCGGTACCTGCTCCGGCTCTTTCCCATACACGAGACCTCAGAAATTCATTCCCCGCCTGTCCCTTGGTCCCAGCTCTTCCATCCGTCCCCTTGTGGATTCGCCTTGTTCCTTAATTCCTTCCTTGGTCTCTCTCACTCCTCTCGCGTTTCCTCTTCCACGTACGTCCATCTGCCTCTTCTCCTTCTTCATCATCCTCCTCCTCGCGTCCTCTCGACAGCCCGGACGGCTCATTTGTTTTCGCGGTGTAACCCGAGAGTCGCTCTGTCGACGCCGCAACGCCATTGCTGCCAACACTCACTGGACCCCGGACTGATAACCGGCTTGGCTTTCATGTAAATCGCTAATTCCTCCTGGAACATTAATTATCTCGTTGCCCACCGTACTCGACGACATTTCCAGAAACGGCCTCGATACGCTGAAACAAGATGAGGATGAATGTGGCAAAGGAAAAAAAAAAAGAGAGAAAAAAAAGGAATGCACTTACATTCCATGTAGCCAATTATCGGAAGAAAGTTTAAAGTGGTATCTCCGCGAGAGAGCCACTCCCCGGATGAAATATTTTCGTGGTCCTTGCGGATGCTGGAATTCTTATCCCACGTTGTTTCTCACGATCATTCCAACTGTTTCGCTATCAGCCAATTCGGTTGCGTACAGTATCAATTTTTTAATTTTTTACATTTTTATCTCGATCTTAACCTTTTTTATAACATATAGATATACTGCACGGTAGTAGCTTACAGTCTATGGATCCTCGACCGATCTGTTCCGATCGCTTTTATCTTGAAAGGAATCGCCCTCCGCTACCCTTTTCAATTTCGTGCCTCGTGCCGACCATAGATGAAACCGCTCCTCGGGCGCAGCCTCCGTAATCTGTCAGTGGTACCGCTTCTCGTACAGTTTTCTTCAGCTTATCTGGAGGATCGAGTCGCATTTAATCCTCGTGGAAAAAAAAGTAAAAAAAATATAAAAGGAAGCCAGGTCTGCCACCCCCCCGACTCTCGTAAGCCGACCGTGTGGCGCCAATCGTGGCGTACGACAGCCGCAACAATGCGATACGCCAGGAAGATGCAGAAGGAGGATCTTACGGATAGGATCTACCGGGTGTAAAAAAAGTTTATCATATCCTACCTTTAATCTCGAAAACCGTATAAAGTCACGTATAAACCGAATATATGAAATTATATATCGAAATCGAAAATGAGGATTCTCAAGGACCTCCGGCTTCGACTCCCGCCAGACAAGATCGTTTCCTGACATATTACACCAAGTCGAGTTACACGCGAACCCGGTACCCGGAGCGGCAATATCGAAGGGACCAATTTCGGTGCGGATGTCGAAATACGAAATGTCCTTGTCCCGCGAAAGGCAGGAGGGAGTCACGTTATGATTTAGCGGCTCGTAAAAGCCGTCCTTGATATAGAGAAAAATATTAAAATTGAAAATCCTCAACGGTGATATACGCGTGTGATATTGGTGGCCGGCAGCTGTCCTGTTCCCCGGCTCGTGGCCGGGCAGAAATGGAAGTGAAATAAGAGCGAGAGAAAAAAAGAAGAAGAAGAAGAAGAAGGAAAACGATAAAAGAGAACGTCAGAAAAGGAAGAGACCAGAGGGGCGGCAGGGGGTGGGATCGCACTGTGAAAAACAGTGAGGGGGTGCGAAGATATTGTCTCGGAGGCTCGGTGACTCCGGCGCCAGGACAATGCTACTTTAAAATATTGTCAAAAGTATAAAAGGATATATATGAAAGGGTGAGAAGTGAGGGGCTCCGAAAGAACCAAAGGGAGAAACTCGCAGCACTTGTCGCGAGCACACGTGTCGCCTGCTATTGGACTCGGAAAAGGGTGACACACCCCACTGTGTTACCAGACTGCGTATACGGTGGATTTTAAATTGAAATAAATTAAACTGATTCAGGGTTACCAACATACCCGCACCCACGTGCACCGGTGTCCTATAAGCTTCGCGAAAATAGGTTAGGCCATGACTTTCGTGCGGAACCCCTCGTAACTTGAGTCTACTCGAGAACGGCTGTGACGTCACCAAGCGGCTGTTCCACGATTACATAGAATACTCCTAACATTTATTTAAATCGCCTATACCTAAGTGCGTTCCTGCGTCTGCGGATAACCATGGTCACCGTTCGGCAATCCGACACCTTCCACAACAAGAAACTTGCTCTCGGTGCATTTCATTTCAGTTTCACTGCGGTCTTGGTTTCGCCGTTTCTTTTAGTTATTTTTTACCTTTACCTTCACATTATATATATCAACACAGAACGTTCTCTTTTACTATGCGAACGAAATATACCCATGGCCGCAGCGATGATGTCGATTAATCTCTACGGTGTAATCATTGCCGATCGATCGATTCGAAATCGTTCGCTCGTTATCGTACGGATCTTTTTTTTTTATTCTCACTTTCCGAACCAACGTATACCGATCGGGATTATAGATATTTTTTTTTTCCAACGATTCTTGTTATTACGCAATTATATTTACAGTGCACGAGATAATGTGTTACATACGGAATTACGCACAATTTGTCGCGACTTCGAGGATATCGGATACCACGTGCGTGCAAGTGTCTTAGCCGCGTATCCCGCAAACAAATTCTTTTTTACCTGATCGCTACCACGATACGAATAATCCGACAGGAAGAAGATACGGAAAAAAAAGGAAATTTAGAAATTCATCCAAGACGCTCCAAACACCGTAGTCATTTATTTTCCTATATTCTCCTCTCAGCTGTTCTGGACCTGTTTGTATTAAAAATATAGATTTTCCTGGGGTAACGTAAAATAGATTTGTTTTTAATACTATACCAAGTCACTACTCGATCAAAGATCAATGCCATGACCGTAGGTCTAGAATTAGGCAGAAAAACGCGTCACGTGCAGCTGCTTCCTGGGGCTGAAGAAAAGGAAGTCTCACCTGCCTAACCGATACACCTAGATAGTATCGTAACGATAGCACCTCCTTGCACGACAGTGTAATACAGGTTTGTTGGCCCTCCACGTCCGTCCTGTCTGTCAAGACGCACGGAAATTATTAGATCGTTATATATATATATATCAATAACACATACAACCTGTCAAACGAAGCAAACGTCTCTATCCAGGTGAAAAAAATATTTAGACACGCCAAAGTTCGGATAAAGTACTGAAAATTGTAGTGAAGAAAAATTATGAATCGTAAAGTTTTTATTGAAATTCTCATCAATTATTACCTCATTATCATTTATTTCGAATCTCACGACTGGCATATATGGAAAGTCTGCAGTATCATTCGTAGGGAATATATCAACCATAAGATTTACGTAACACCTCTATGGTGTTTATATCGTCTGTTTATCTGACTGTCTACTGGGTTGGTACGATGGTTAGTTAGCTGGTTGGCTGCACTGTGACTGGTCGCTTGTGGGATCCCGCAGGTAGTCGTTTCCTAGGATACGAGGGAACCGCGTTGAGGAAATGCGAATTCGCACGCTCGAGGTAATATTCATAATACGGTATTATTAATTCCTCATTGTCTCTGCTGTTGCTGCTCTGGCGCGAGCTCGGGACACGCACGCGGTATTTTATGCATATGATGGAATTAAGTAGCACAAGACATCGGACGGACGGAACGAGGCCACTTTTCTGTTCCAACGTACATTATGCATGTTTACAGCCTTCCTTTCCCTCGATTCCTTCTATGTGTCTTACTTCAGTTGCCAACTTCACGTCAATGAGACTCGCGCAAGGGATCACGGGTAAAGTCCGTAAGGAATATATGGGAAATACAGACGCCCAATATCAATGCTTACGAGTGAGTCTGAATCGAGGTTATGTGATAAAATTTTTTTTCTTTTTCTTTTTTTAGGGTTACACGCCCTTACACATCGCCATGCAGTTCGAGCACGAGAACATCTTCAATCTGCTTGTACAGGTTTATGGTGAGTTATATATAGTTTAGACGTTTTTTTAAAATTTGATACAGACACGAGTTACGAAAATCATGGCTAAAGTCACGGATACGTAAAATCAGTACACAAATGCACTGATTGACGGCTTAGCTGAACAAACAGTCCACTCTGCGGCAGCCCTCAAAGCATAGCCGCCTGTTTGTCACAGATTACCCAAGCAGACGCCGCTCCTTCTGTTATCGGCCTATTCGATACCCATTAGATACTTTCATTGTCGGTTCGTACCGCTAGTCCGATCATCGTACGTCACCTACACTCTGTTTGTCATCCGATAACAATTTGACGAGCATACAAACCGATCTTACAGTGACAGCGAACGGGGTCGAATCTTTTATCGAGCCTTGTCCAGTTTGTTGTCAAATATTATCAAATGATATCCAGACTCGAAAGGTTAACCGGCAGTCGATCTATACCTTGCACAGCGTAGAAAAGCCATCTTGAATTTATATTAAATAATAAAATTTTAACTCTTATTAATAAATAACATTTTTTCGTCTCAGTCCCCATTTTGTCAAATTTATACAAAAATTTTTATTCATTTTAGGTGCCAATCAGGACGTCCGTGACTATAGTGGAAAAAAGGCCAGGCAGTATCTCGTGTCACAGGAAGCTGCCGTCAGCCAAGACACCTTCCGCAGTGAGTACGACCATGACGATCAGGACTCGGCTCGTCTCCTGAGGGTAGCGTCCCTTAGAAATTCGCGTACGCCGTCCCTTCAGCCGCCAAGGGCTGAGATTATAAAGCATCGCTCCACGCTTCCCGCAAGCATGAAAAAGCAGCGCCACCATCGTCAGAGGACCCTAATATCAGCTCCCAGCTTCCTGCGCAAAAACTTCAATCCCAGCGCCTCCATCCGCAAGACCAGAAAACCTGAAGTCGCTGAATAGATTATTCATTCCTACTCGTTCCTCTGCGATTACTTCAGTTTCATTCCAGTCCATCTACGTCAGTCTCTACTGAGAGCTACTAGTATCAGCATGCTACTATACCACACTGATAAGGCATGCTACCTGTACCAACGCCATCTATTGTACTAACTGCACGATATCATCGAATCAGCATTTCTACCTCTACGCTCTTCTTCATACGTTAACGCATCCCAACCCTTGGCACTGGTTCATTAATGGAAGTTCATCATGGACTGATGCTGATTTATTAAACCATTATAATTTGATACCTGTCAAGTATTATTGGATCATTACCAAATGGGGGTACCATGCGATTTTATATAATAATTTTTATTATACTGCACGCTGACACGTATCTGTGTAATATCTTTTTATTTTTTTCTCTTTTCTTTACATACTCTAGACTCAAGTTAGCTTCCTTATTGTCTTATTATATATCTTTTTGGTTTTTGGTCGCACGCCCAGTATATTCAGGGTTCTGGAAGTATTCTTCTGTTGTAGGGATTACTGCTGCCGCTACGCTCAGGCAAGTTCAGAAGCGCACCTCTGCTAAAGTAGTAAAGCGCTTGTATCGCAAGAATAAAGTAGGCGCACCTTGAAGTAACGTATAAATCATATTTAGCAATGTATATGTGTATATATATATATATGTTGCCGGTGAGTCATTTTGAAAATTAACAGGCCATTGAAAAAGAAAAAATAAATAAATAAAAACGACAAGATATACCAATCCACTGTTAACCAATGTAACCAGTCGTAGTCAGGCCTGTCATTTTTCAATGTTACAGTTTAAACGAGTGACTTATGTCTTCTGTTGTTCTCCTTTGTTATCTTTACTTATCTTTATCCTTACTCTTTGCCTGTAATCATGTCTTATTGCACGGCGAGCATCTATTGTCATGCAACAGTTGCATCGTATGCGCGAAATCATTGATATGCGACGTACACGTAAAAGTATTATTTGTTTTTGCTATTGTCGTTTTAATTATAAATAATTATATTAATGTCTAAGCAATTGTTGTTCAGCGCGAATACAAATACACTTCACGAGTATCGAAGTGGCAGTGGTATGACTGTTTTACCAATTTATATTATTAATTAATTAACACACTGGGTATATTACTCTTTTTCTGGTTTCCGTAAATGTGGTAGAAATAAAGTATGTAACATGCATGAATGTACTTTACGCACTATCAGATTCCCAACTGACTTCACTTCCGCACGTATTTACACACGGTGTAACGTTAACGGCTGAATCATTAAATGGAGAAAATTGTAATTGCCATACTTACGATTCTTAACGGCGGGGCACTTGGGATGCCAACTTAATTTACCATCTCGTTCGACTTCCGCGGTTTTGTAACACATTCTCGTAATTGCGATCTTGATTTCTCTTAATGAAGAGGCTCAATAATATTTCGTTGAAAACGTTTCACGAGGTAGACCTGCGTACACTGGATGCGTACGTAGGTCTTTTCCATTTCATTTGTAAGGATCGTCAAGCAGCCTGTAATTAATAGCAATCAAGCAATCTTTGTGCCTTGAGCATTATTTTCCTTTATATTTTTCTAGTCTAACTCACATCCATTGTTTTAATTATTATTATTACGATTATCAAATGAATGTGATCTCTCGTTTCAGAAATAAAAGCAAGGAAAAAGCATGCAGGTAAGCGCCAGTGAGGGATAGAGCCTATGTAACGTGTGATCGATTCATATCGATCAGCTGTTAAGGGTAATGTAATAGAAGATATGGGAAGTGAAATTTGTAGGTTTTATTGACAAAAATATTTATATATATTTATATCAGTGACAAGATTTTTCTCGTAGATTTTTTTTAAGTATAATAGAACGTTGCGTGGCTGCTTAATCAAAATTGGATATATGTAAACTAACGGTAAGAGCCATTACACTTGTTTGAACGCAGAGAAAGATCTTGGTTTCCTACGAATTGGCTCGTTGAACGTCCGCGTGAAACGTACGACGGAGGCCTTCAGCCAGTTCCTGGGTGTGGCAACTAGTGCCAACAGCAACGCGGAGAAGATACACAAGAGCTGGGGATCTGCAGATAACATACAGGTAAATAGAACACGATTCATGTACCGTATAAGATTTTTAAATTCGAGAAATACGTTACGTACGCGACTAGGCTATATTTGAAAACTTTGGAAAATTGTAAAAGAAAATTATACTTTTTTTAGATGGAACATAAGGTCATGCCACCACCAAAGTACGCACCGATTAAAAAACGTAGAAGTCGAAGGGCACAGGATTTCTCATCTTCGAGGGGTCAACATACTGTCAGCCAACCTAACACCCCGGTGCCTCAGGGGAAGGTTTTTGCACGTCAAAATCCATCTGTCAGTCACGAGGAACCCTCTGGTGCAGTCGCCCCTTCCGAGTCTTTGTCAGTCAACCGACCCAACAACGATTCGGATTCGGATACGGCTTGCGGATTTGATTCCGCTTGGCGCGGATCTGCGCAACTGTAACGGAATTTCATGACTCTTGAATGGGATTGTTCACGCGAATGAAAAAAAAAAAAAAGGGAAAATTGACGTGGAACGATATTCGCCATTTCTGTTACAATGCCGGCTATTAATTTCGAATAGATACGCTTCGATAATTCCAGGGTGATATTGTGTACGTGGTTAAGCGATTTTATGAATTTAAAAAACTAATCTCGACTTGTCCCTCTATGGGAAATTGTATTCGATGAAGTGACCGATCCAGGTTACTGATAGCTGAATATATTTTCGTACGATATCGATAATGTTTTAGGAGAAATACTGATTTAGCTGACGCTAATGCTTTTACACTAATGGTTTTGTAGTCATTAGGAACTAGGCTTAGAGACAATTATGAGATACATTTGAATACTTGGACTAGATATACTCGGGTGATACGTACGCCGGAAGCATTACGTTTTAATGCCTTTTCACGTGTGATTCGCCTACTGTTGGTTTTTTTTTCCTTTTATTGTTAGAGATATTCAAAGTCGTTTGTTAATATGCTTTTAACATTGTATATCTGTCTTTGCGCGTAAATTACGTGTAACGTTTAAGGAGCTTGGATAGTTTCTTAATGATTTGATTATTCATTTTCTTGCACAGTGAGAACACTTCCGTGGTTAGTTGTTAGTTATTTTGGCTCCTTTTTTTGTTAAATATTCATTGTGGCTGGTAATGACGTGTACGAGATATCGTGTGAAACTTCTTATACAATAATACGCACATAATTGCAACGTGAAACTAAAGGACTTGAATAATATTATTTGTAGATGTGAGGATTTCGAGATTATGAACTACGTTATGAATTGAGTTTCAAGTATCCTTTGTATTTTTAGTTACTTCGTAACGAATCGGTGAGCGGGGATTATTACTTTTTTTTAATAATTATTAAAAATTCAATTATTCTAACGTCTATTGGAATTGTAAAAATTATACGATTTTTAAGAGTACTCTTTATGCGCCATCTATAGAGAAACGGTTGAAACTACAGGTAAGTCCTGTCGCTATATATTGATATACGTTTGAATTTTGTGTGGAAGTTTTCGAAATTACTTGGATACTTCTTCGCTTCTTTACTTGCAGAATTGTTTTATTGTTTAATATGACTTTTAACTTTTATTGTAATACGTTTTTTTCAATTTTACATTTCATCATATTTCACATTCCTACTTGACATAATTTAACTTTATATAATGTGGTTAGTGTATAACCTGCAAAGTGTCAAAGATTTGTAGAGAAATAGTAAATAAATAAGCTTGCCTCTATAATGTATGACATATGTCATCCCTCTGTAAGTAATAAATATATTTATGTACATCTTGAAAATAAATATCAAGAAAGCTCAGATTACTGACAATAATCATTAATTTTAGTTTTACGAAATGGGCCAGCTTGGCTGCAATGACCATAACAAAATCATTACTGCATTTCATGTTTACATAGAACTATGCGAAGGTATTAATTTATTCTTTTCGTAGTGTAGTACACTTAATATACTTAGCATTGGACTTAATACTTTCTGCGACAGTAAAGCGCCTGTGGGATGTTAAGTACCAATATAATAAGGATATTGACTTGATATATCTGGAAGCTAAAACAAGCAGGTCCAGTCCACATCAAATCTACATACCATGGTCAACGGCAAACCCTATATCTCTGAAGTTTATTGAACAAATGCAACAGAAACTTGATACCAACAGGTAATATTTATATGCTTTTCAGCTTTTATTTCCTATTAACATTATATTACATTTCAGACTCACGTTAGTATTCAAGGATGGTGATAGTAGTAGCATTTATTATAAAGTAAGCGAAGGTCTTGTAAAACCTCTAACACCCGAAGACAGCAAACAACAAAAATGTGTAGAAGAGAAACGATTGAAGCTGGAAAGAGAAATCCAAAAAAATACTTCAAATTTATACGAATTGGCAAAAACCATTGACAACGAGAACACACAAGGAAGTAATCACGAAGTAGAAATCCTTGAAACTTCTCAACCCTCATAGGTCATTTTATCTTTATTTAACAGTTTTTGGTATTTTAAATATATTACAACATATTTCTGTTAAAAAGAAAAAACATGTATTTCTCTTTTTTAATCCATTTCAATAACAGTTAAAATCAAATATCAATTTTAACTTTGTATTACATATTTACATTCATTTCATACATATTTACAATTTACCAAAACATTCGAGCCTTCTCAAGAATTTCTACTGATTCTGAAAAATTCTTTCCATTGGGTAAATATGGCGGAGTTAACTCTCTGTATGCAAGACAAACTCTTCTAGAATTTATGTCTTCTCTGAGAACAGAATGTTCCCAACCATACCTGAAAGTGAAAGACAGTTAATTCTGTGAGTTTCATAATTGTTACAATGTAATTGTATATTATTGATTATACCTAGCTTCTCCATAAAGAACCATCAATGATTTAGCAGGCATTGGTAATCTTACTACAATGTCTTTTTTATACTGTGAATTTTGAAACTCTACAATATCAAACGGTTTACCCTCGTTTGATTCTTTAACTACTGGAGGATAACTCGGAACATCTTCCAAATTATAGCGACTCGATTTGCCATCATAAACAGTCATTGTTAATACAGTATCTCCTAAAATATTCACAGTGACTATTCTTTCACCCCAAATCCAACAGTCATCAATGTGCGGATCTATCGATGCACCACGACTCGGATCATACTCCAAAGAGCATTGCTCAACTGTTTGAAAATTTTGCAATAATGGTACTTCAGATAATTTATCCTGGATGCTCTTTGTGCTCCCTGGAAATCCACAGAAGTCACCTATACGCAGTCGTCTCTTCTTAAAATTACATTTCGGACCATAATTCTGTAAATCATAGTACATATTATTTAAAGTAAGAAAGTTTAATATGAATAATCTTAGGTAATGAATTAATAAAGCAATGAGATCAATATACTTGTTTTCGACGACCACTCTGTGACAATTCCCAGCGTAAACTATCAAGATTTGTTAGCATTGAAGCAGCTTCGGCATCAGTTAAAAAATCTGGCTGGAAAGAAACTTAGTATATAATAATCTATACACTAGTTACTGAAACAATAAATTACCTTTATATAAACTCCAGGAAAGCTTATTGATTCTCCGTTATGATTTGGATGTTCCATATAACTATTACTGTCCCATCCACGCCAGGCTTTGTCACAATATAGACAATACACAAAACATGCTTTCTTCTAAACATAACATTACAATTTTGCATTTATAGATAATTAATGCATTATTCATGTCAATACGATAATTATTATTGCTCACCGATGTCAAACATTAAATACCTGTAAATCACTGGCAAACTCCACCCTTGGGATGTTAAATTGTTCCTCACAGATTAAACAGGTCCGAATGCCTTTACAGCCACAAGGCCTTATCGTTTCCATTTGTTTAAATAAATAATTACAAAATAACAAATTAACAATGATAGTTATTCGTCAAATCGACATTACGATTTACAATTTCATTAACTCAGACAATCACATGTAAAATATGAAATACATTGCCAAACAATTCATTAATATTTGTTTACCTAAAGTATTAATATGCAAGTATAAATATTTCATTCAATTTAAAAAAATATCTAATAAAAATTGATATCAATAAAGTTCACGTTTATCACTACCTCCACTCTTTGACGCACTACCCCATCTCCTAGCCATCATATGAAATCGTTCAACGATGAAATTACTGTAATGTGCCCATACTTTACAGTGTCACCCGGTATAAATCCATGCTTCTCACGACGCTCACGAATATCACGCGTGTATATATTTATAAAAAGCCCAATCAAAAACGTGGATAGAGTTCGACGGTCTTCCGCTCAGGTGGCGCTTCGAGACGAAAATCTTTCCTTCCTTTCCTTATGGCTGTATCCCTAATGGGGGACATGTGCCAGTCAAGATGAAAATAAAATTGGGTAATTGGTTTCAGGAAACCAGAGATCAGCAGGAAGATGCACAACGCTTCGGTTTTAGACGATACCAAAATCATGCCGCTAAATAGTAGCGGCAAGTCTGGAAGTAGGATTCTGTGATCAACGCCACCGTCGACAATGCAAATCCCATCATAGTCGAGCTAAACTTAAACACGAATGCGTAGCTTGGCGGGCAGAGGTTCTCCGCTACTCACCGCTGGTTCCCAAAGCAACTCTTAGAACAAGACCGGGAACTTTAGAACTTCTCAAGAATTATTGAAAAAGCCTATTGTTGAAATATTTTTAAGACATTTTGAAGAAAGTGCCAACTTGCCACCCGTGTCGCATCTCAATTTTTAATAAATATTATTGGATCTTGATTTACTTTCAAAATTTATTCAAAATATAAAATTTGAGCTGAATAAAAATCTCGCAGAATATACGGAGCAGATAAAGCGCTCATTCTTCCTCGAGCCGGTCTCCTATACTGGTCTCTTGGAATC